TCACCAGTCGTGATTCCATGCAAAAATGAATCCCTTAAAAGCAAAAATTCGCATGTGGTCTTACGCTTTTCCTGTATAAGGATTGGTGTTTTATTTATCTGAAAGACACGTGTCTTACCCTCAATTAAAAACCGAGATAATTCCTTCCCTCTGGACTGTAGGGTGCAATTAAAGAAAACGAGTCAGCACATGTAGCAGAGTCAGACTTTCTGAAATCCATGTTTAATTTTAATTGAAAGATTTTATCTTTCAAAAGGGTTGGCTCCTATTCTTTAATCAAGGTCACACAAATCTTCCAAATGATGAGAGGACATTTATTGGTCGGAAACCCCCCCCCCCCCGGCCAGGTTCAAAGACTCCAGGTTGAGGAGGGAAAAGAACATTTGTCAGGTAGTTTTAACAGAATATAAAGTACGAAAGTAACGGTGCACGCCAACCAGATCTCCTCAACGAGATCGCCGCGAAGAATGTCTTTGGTGCGTTTCAAACGCTTCCGCTCGCTGGAATGAACTCCCAAGATGCTTTCTCTCAGCTCCTAATAAATTTGGGTATTTTGGCTGAGTAAAATTTGTGGAAATTTTTAAGTGCTTTCCATTTTTTTGACTCCAGAATTTCAAAGCCTCCAAAAAGTTCTTGACTTCACAGAAGTTTGACTAGAGCGTAATTCTCACTAATTGCTCCGTCTTTGTATCGTAAATATCCAGAGTCCGCAGCTGTGGCAGGTTGCAACGCATCCTAAACTGAAGTAATGACTCTGTCTGCAAATTATTCGCTCGGATTGCAGTCATTGACAGTCTTGAAGGCGATGGAAACTGCTAAAATTCATGTTAAAATTTACTGAAAAAGATCTTCACCTGTTATCACACCCACTTTCTCAATCGGCATTTTCAACGGCCCGCATATGATTTTCCTCCTTCAGCCCACGGCGTAACAGAGCTTCAAGTTTTCTTCAGCGCGTTGGCACCTGCTTCTGGTTATATCAAAGAAGCGTTCCCACTTCTAACCTCTGATGCAGGGATTGAAAAAAGCGCGCTGCAGTCTTTCGCCAGCGCGTGCGAAGATTCAATTTGACGGTGGTGTAGAGAGGGCGTGGCGGCATTGGCCGTTTGGGGCAGCGAAGAATGGCCTTCAGAGTAACTGGCCAATCGCGAGACGCCGAATAAAGGCCGTGACAAAAAGGTGGCTTGTGTCGCAATTGTGAGACACAAAGCTTTATTGTGCAGCCGACAGGACGCTATTCATACAGGCTTCCAGCCGCCTTGCCCCATGGATGACCTTAAAGTGGATGAGGCACTGGCCGGCATCGTACAGCCTGCTGGATTTTGGCAATTTTTTGCCGTAATCCTTACCGCACTCTCAATTCCCGGCGCAGCCATCATATCTGTCTTTAACAATTCCTTTCCAAAACATCGCTGCCGACTAGAGCCGCAGGTAGAGGCCTGGCTGCTCAATACCACGATTACGCCCACTGGCACAGGCTGGAATATAGCCAGCATCGCAGAATTTTTTGGACCAAAGTTGTCCTACTCGAGTTCTGTTAGCGCCTGTGAGGTATACACCGTTGATCGACTGCAAAATGCAACCATTGAACGGCTGCTTCAGTACCAGAACCAGACTCTGGCACTGGAGCGAGAGAAGTGTCCCTTTGGTTTTGTCTACGAATATGACTGGTACCAATTTCCCGGTGGTCTTGTGGAGGAATGGGACCTCGTCTGCGACCGCGCCTGGGAGGTACCTTTCAATGAGAGCATTTACATGTTGGGCATGTTGATTGGCTTCCTAGTCGGTGGTTGGTTCGGAGACCGATTCGGTCGAAGACGTGTCATCCTGGCCTCGGGTGTGGCGGAGTTCGTCATCGAAATAATGATCTGCTTCTGTGTCAACCACACACAGTACATCATTCTGCGTATTCTCGTCGCCATTTGTGTCACAACACGTTTCTCTGCTCTTACAGTTCTGATAACTGAGATAACGACCGCCAAATATCGATCATTGCTCTCTGCAGTCTGTGGCATTGTCAATGTGAGCCTTCAACGTGTTTTTCTGGCGATTGTAGCCCTGTGCATCACGAATTGGCGATGGTTAAATGCATCACTGGTGGTGATGAATAGTCTTATCTTCATCCTGTTCTTTGTTCTGCCAGAGTCTCCAAAATGGCTTATTGCCCGTGCTCGATACAATGATGCCGGAGGCGTCCTGTATCAGGGCTATCGAATAAACACACGCGTCAAGAATATGCTTTCCACTGCGTCCAATCGGAGTCCCCTGCTTAGTCAGAAGGAATTCTTCTCGCTGATTGGCATTCCTGACTCACCCGTCAAGGACAAGTCGGCTGAGGCGGAGGAGGAGCAGGAGGATGATGATGATGCCAGGTGTAGGCCCTCCGCCAAGCGGAAGAGAAGGTTCACTGTTTTTCAGCTATTTAATCGCACAATAGCGGCTACGACTATACTGTGTACGATCCTCATTGCTGGACACATTACCTGTGTGTTCGGATTGGCCTTCTATTCTGCAAGCATTCGTCTCTACACCTCCTATGTGCTCATCATTAATGCCCTCTCGTCCATACCGGGATCCCTGCTCTTCGCCTGTCTTTATCGTTACTTTCGCTTTCGCAAGAGGCCACTGTTGGTCATTTACCTCGTTACAGCAACTTTTCTCTGGATTGCTTCTCTCTACACACTCATTCTACAACCCCAAAACGACATTGCACTTAATGTCCTAATTGCTGTTGTTACGATGTTGTTGGCCACCGCGTCGCGAATGGTGTTTGTCTATGTGCCTGAGCTGTATAATCCTATCTACAGGAACCGTGGACTGGGGGTGTGTGCCGGTCTGGCTAGACTTGGTGTTTTCTGGTTCCCCCTAATAAACCGCCTCGATTCGAGTGTCAGACACGGCTTTCCACTGACCATTTATGCTG